CTTATAGCCATCTTTCTATCCATCTTACTGTCTGTTTATCCAATCCACATTCCCTTAACTTGCTGGCAAGAATATTGTGGGAGACTGTATCAAAAGCGTTGCTAAAGTCAAGGTATATAACATCCACTGACTTTCCCACGTCCACAGAGCCAGTTACCTCATCATAGAAGCTAATCAGATTGGTCAGGCACGACTTGCCCTTTGTGAATCCATGCTGACTATTCCTAATTACTTTCCTCTCTTCCAAGTGCCTCAAAATGGATTCCTTAAGGATCCCTTCCATGATTTTTCCAGGAACCAAGGTAACTCTGACCGGCCTATAGTTTCCTGGATTGTCCTTCTTCCCTTTTTTGAAGATGGGCAATACATTTGCCTTTTTCCAATCATCCGGGATTTCTCCCAATCTCCATGACTTTTCAAATATAATGGTCAAAGGCTCCTCAATGACATTTGCCAACTCCCTCAGTACCCTGAGATGCATTAAGTCCGGACCCATGGATTTGTATACATTTAGCTTTTCTAAATAGTTCCTAATCTGTTCTTTACCCACCAAGGGCTGTCTGTCTTCATGCCATTTTGCGTCACTTAGTGCATTAGTCCGGTAGCCCAGCTTGTCCGTGAATACAGAGGCAAAGAAAGCATTGAGTACTTCAGCTTTCCCCTCTTCATCTGTCACTAGGTAACCTCCTTCATCCAGTGGGGGCCACACCCCCTCTCTGATCACCTTTTTCTTATTAACATGCCTTTCTTGTTATCCTTCACATCCTTAGCCAGTCGCAATTCCATTTGCGCTTTCGCCTTCCTGATAACCCCCCGGCATTCTCGAGCTATACATTTATACCCCTCCCTGGTCATCTGTCCAAGTTTCCACTTTTTGTAAGCTTCCTTTTTGTGGTTAAGTTCACCAAGGATTTCCCCTGTAAGCCAATCCAGTCTCCTACCATGTTTGCCTCTCTTGCTACGCATCGGGATGGTTTCTTTATGTGCCTTCAATAAGGCTTCTTTAAAATACTGCCAACTGTCCTGGACTCCTTTCCCCTTCATGTTCGCATCCCAGGGGATTCTGCCCATCAGATCTCGGAGGGAGTCAAAATCTGCTTTTTTGGAGGTTTCTTTTTTCTTTTCTTTTTTTAAATTTAGATGTGATCTTAGCTCCCAGCTAGAAATCTATTAACTTATGTAAACAAATATATTACTGCTGTTCTGACTGAATTGCAAATTTTTCAAATCCTTTGCTGAATCCATTCACAGTTCCAGTCAATGAAACTGGTAAATGAATCCCTAATGACACTGATCACTCTGAAGGATTTGAAGGTACCATCTTTCAATCTGATTCCTTGAGCTTTGTGAGTGTTTACATTCATTTTCCTCCCTCTTTGCTTAGTTGTAATGGTTACATGGCACAAAGTGGAGGCGGGAAAGAAAATTAGGTCCTTCTTTCTATCCCACACATTGCTATTTGCCTTACTGTGCCTTTCTCTGAGAGTATGAATCATTCACTTCCTTGATTTACACTATGGCACTGTAGGTAATGTTGGCAATCATCTGTTACTGAAAAATCTAACACTTAAAAATAACTTTTTTCATTGCTTATTCCACAACTAGCCAATAGCCCGTCATAAAACGGGATCTCTCTCTCACACACTCACACACTCTCACACAGAGCCCAAATGGCTGTTTGGGCTCCGCGCTCCCCATGCGGGGGCAAGCAGTGCAAGCGGCTGTGTGGGCTCCACGTTCCCCATGCAGCACGGGGACTACAGAGCCCAAATGGCCTCTTGCGCCGCTTGCTCCCACATGGTGGTCCAGCTGAATGGTACAAAACTCAGCCAAGCGCCACGGCGGGAGGCGAAGGGGGGCAGGGTGGTGACATACACGGCCAGAGGGCAGGGCCTGGAGCTGCTGTCACGTCACATGTCACCGCTCCGCCCCCCTTCGCCTCCTGCCGTGGCGCTCCGTTTCCAATGTCCAGCATGGCTCAGCTGGGCCGCTGCGTGGGAGCAAGCATCACAAGTGGCCGTTTGGGCTCCGCACTCCCCATGCAGCAGGGGCCGCCCAGCGGGAACAGCCAGCATTTCAGGCAACAGTGCCGCCAAGAGGGAACAGCCAGCAATTCAGCGTTACAGACTCTCAGACATTGGGCTACTATATATATATGATGCCCAATGCAGAGGACTGAACTAGATGATCTGGCAAGGTTCTTTCTATCCTACAGGTCTGTGGTAGAGGCAAACAATAACTAGTCGTTGTCCAGATAGACTGTGTAACTTCTTCATATTAAGATGTTTGTAAACATATGAAAAAATTGGACTTTTATACTGTGTTTAGAATAAATGCATTTACTTAGTCACCAGAACCTACAAAACCAGGAAAAAGATAGCAGATGGATATTTAACTGCAGTAAGTGTTCAATGAATCCTAATTAATATAGTTAGAATGGCACTTTGCCTAGTTTTTTAAGGTGCAAAATATCCCCAAGTTTGGACACTTCTTGATTTGTAACTTAGTCTATTTTTGTTTGTTTGAAATTTTCTATATGTGGGAAAAAAAGCTAGAAGATTCCACATTCATTCCCTGAGACTATATATTTTTGGCTTCCTTTTAAAAAGACTCTGGGGATTTGTTTGGCTGTTCCGTGACAATATGGCTTCATTGGAGATATTTATAGACCATGATCTACCTCCCGTGAGTCACTTTTACAGGCTCCAAATAACTCTATTTGCCTCAGCCTCTCATATGGTCTTGCTCTCTGAACTATGTGTCGTTTTTGTTGCTTTCTTCTGTCTCCTTTTGTAATGAGGAGTTGGAAGGATGTTTAAAATGCAACCCTTATTGGTATTGGGATAGCAAGAAGCATAGTTCATCATGGTTCTGCCCATGACTTCTCTTATCGGTGTTGGCAGTTGGTTGATTTCCTCTGCTGGGGAACATGCAAAGCCACAAAACTTCAGTGGGAGCAATGGGATGTTTTGTGCTGCTCCTGGAAGCACGGGGAAACATGCTCACACCACTGACCATGCACCCCACAAAAGAAACAGTAATTTGGGAACCTGTCCCTGCAACAAACCCCACTGCCCACTCTGTCCACATATCTAGCCTAGCAACACTATCACAGGACCTAACTGCATCAGCCATACCATTACAGGCTCGTTCACCTGCATATCTACTAATGTAATAAATGCCACTGTGTGCCAGCAATGCCCCTCTGCCATGTGCATTGGACAAACTGGACTGTCGCTATGCAACAGAAAGAATGGACACAATTCAAACATCAAGAATGGTAAGATACAAAAACCAGTGGGAGAATATTTTAACCTCTCTGGACACACAGTTAGAGTATGTCTACACTGCCACCCTAGTTCGAACTAAAGGGGCTAATGTAGTCATTCGAACTTGCAAATAAAGCCCGGGATTTAAATATCTCGGGCTTTATTTGCATGTTCCCGGGTGCCGCCATTTTTAAATGCCCCGTAGTTCAAACTACATGTCTGCGGCTACATGCAGCACGGGCTAGGTAGTTCGAATTAGGAGCTTTAATTCGAACTACCTAGCCTGTGCCGCATGTAGCCGCAGGCAGAGGGTTCGAACTACCGGGCATTTAAAAATGGCAGCGCCTGGGAACATGCAAATAAATGCAAATTCATTTGCAAGTTCGAATGACTGCATTAGCCACCCTAGTTCGAACTAGGGTGGCAGTGTAGACATACTCTAACTGTGTGTCCAGAGAGGTTAAAATATTCTCCCACTGGTTTTTGTATCTTACCATTCTTGATGTTTGAATTGTGTCCATTCTTTCTGTTGCATGCAAGTTGCCACCCTCTAGCAAAAACCATCAAAACCAGGCTGCAATTTGCTGAAATTGCTGAGGTGGAATTCATATGCAAATTGGACACCATCAGAATGGGTCTGAATAGGGATTGGAAATGGCTTGCTCATTACCATAAGCAGTTTGGTACCACTGAAGAAGTGGGCTAGTTTTCTACAGTTGGTATTCTCACCTTCTTATACAGATCCACCCTGATTGGATTAGCGCTGGTGTAACACTCCCACCTCTGTAACCCTGGGATCTGTTCTCTTTGTCTTTCCCTTCATGCATCTGATGGAATGAGTTGCAATTCATGAAAACTTAGGCCATAACATTTTTAATCTTTGAGGTGCCACCAGACTCCTTGTTTTTGCTGAAACCCACTAACACAGCTACCTCTGAAACTTGTCACATGGAGCAGAGCATGCTTGCTGCACTCTCCCATAGGAATAGATCTTTTGCATTTCTTCTCACCTTCTGCCTCCACCCCACCTCACTTTCCTCACCCCTTTGTGGGGTGCTATGAGACTCAAGAGCTATTCTCAGGGAGCAGGTTTTACACCTACTCAAAGACTATTATCTGGTCCATAATGTCTCTTGTATGTTTCTTAGTGGGGTTACATTTTACCAGTGGGCATATCACAGGATGAGTGAGTGATGTCATGGACCAGCTTGTGGCTGGCCTTACAAAGAGGCACAAGGAACCTTCATGCTACTTCCTATCCTTTCCCTCTGCATTGGTGGACATAGCTGTGGTAATGCACCCTGGCATTGCAGTAGTCTAGCACAGCAACCAGCGTTAAATTGTCCACGTGGGAGTAAGACGGACCAAGCTTCCTCTGCAGTGCAATCATACTGTACTCTGGACATGGATGCTCAATTCCTATTCAGGCATGCACCCTTGCAGATCCCTTGAAGTTCTCTATTCTATACCCTGAACTAATCACCCCACTAACGTGCAATCCCATTAAACTCTCCAATAATACCGGTTGCGTTGTTTTCTCTTGAAAATTACCAATCTCCAATCAATCCAGTAGTCATCCAGTCTAACTCCTTTGTCAAGATGGCTCTTTGGTGTGAAAAAAGAGATGAGCCCAGTGCCCCTTTAAGGAATGCTTTCAGGCCTCAGTGTGAGCTGCAATATTAATTTTAGCTTGGAGGTTTGCCACAGGCAGCTTTCACAGAGGGTCCTGAAGCTATTGAGAGGCAGCTGTTCACTGGTATCCAGGGTGGGGTTTGCTCAGTAAAGAAGAGCACAAAGCTGGAAGTACTGAGTGCACAACTTTCTCAGGAGGTATTTTGCCAGCAGTTCAAGGGTTCTGGGACTTTTTATAAGTTGACTTGCACCATTCTAGTGAGAAGCTATGGCTGAAGAGCAAACTGGGCTTGAGGAGAGGATAATAATAAAGGACCAGCACACAAAGGAGATAGACCTGGTGAACAGGGATCCAAAGCACATTAATGAAGATGTTATAAAGGTACATATTCTGAGCACCTTTGATTTTAATAAGCATCTCTGCATTTTTAGTGCACTAAGTCTATTGGTAATTTTGCTTTTATATGGGGTGTTGCTGGACAATACTGCAGAGAAAGAAGGATTCTGGAGGGCAGTAGTTTGAAAATGTGCTGTAGGAAACAACCCTGCACGGGCAGGGGAATGCATACTCTGGCTAGGTGATTTCATATGGCTTTCCTATCTCTGGTGCATGTGATTGTTTGATTCTTTGAATGTGCCCATTCCAACTTCCGTGGCTGGAGCTTGCAAAGGGCCTGGCATTTCCCCGTTAGTCTTGGGGAGCAAGAAGTCAAACATAAAACAGAGACTCAGCCCATGTCACTCTAAGGAATTAAAGAGAAACTTTTTTGAAAAACCTGCCAAAATTCACAACCCTGACTGGCTCAGGAATTTGTCCCTGATCAGGGCAGCCCAGGAGCTGATGGGGCAGCTGATTGTGTTCACAATGTCAGTTTTATTTAGAACAGACTTATTTCTCCCTCATACCAACATGAAGGAGTAAGACAGTTCTGCCCTGATCAACAGAGACACTGAACAAGGACCTTAAAAGGGCACCATCTCTAACTGCGTTGAAGAGTGTGAGCTTGGAGTAACTCTATCCTCTGCAATAGAGATACACCCAGGGTGAGTTTGGCCCCAGGAGGGTAAGAGAAGATTGAAAAGGCGCTGTTAAATTATTCTGTTTTCTTGAAGCATCACAGTAATTCAAATGAGAAAAAGTAAGTGTTGCTTGAACCTCTTCTAAAGGCAGTAGAGTAGGTCTTGGAGTGGTGGGGAGGGAGGGACAATAATTTTGATGGGGCCCACTCCAAGAATTTGATAAGTGGACAAGGGCTGCAGTCTTCCTTGATATTAATGGAGGAGGGGCAGAGTGTGGGATGGAGGTTGGATGCAGAAGGGAGCTCAGGGTAGGGATTTGGAGTGCAAGAGGGGGTGTAAGGTCTGGGATTGAGTTTGGGTAAAGAAAGGGCTTGTGACCTGGGGCAGGGGAGCAGGAGGAGGTGCAGGGATTTGGGTTGTGACCCAGAGCATGAGGGGGTTTTGAGTTGGGGCAGGGTGTTGGGCTACAGGGTGTGGGAGGAGGTATGGGTGCAGGAACAGGAGTTATCTGGGGCAAGGGTGCAGGAGGGGGGAGCAGAAGTCTGGGGGTGGAGTGCCAAGTGCAGGCTCTGGCTGGGAGGTGCTTATCTTAGGTGGCTCCCTGCCTGTCCTGTTCAAAGCGGGTGGCTGCAGGGGCCGTGTGCATCTTTACACGCCACATGATGGGGGAGGGAGCTCTGCACACTGTCTGGGCCACAAGCACAACCCAAGCAGCTCCCATTAGCCAGTTTCTGGACAACAAGAGCTGCGAGATTGTGCTAGGGGCAAGGGCAGTGTCCAAAACCCCACCCCCCACCCCAAGGGATGATCAGTGTGCAGAGACGCACATGGCCCCTGCCGCCAGCCGCTTACCACAGTGTGCAGGGGTATCGCAAGGCAGAGAGTCTGCCCAAGGCTCCACTGGGCTGCACTATGCTGGCAGGCCAGATCCAACGGCTTATCAGGTTGAATCCAGCTCGTGGGCCATATTTTGCCCTCCCAGTCTCGGAATGTGAGTGTGGGTTTCTGCATTTAGAAAAAGAGCCAACTTTGAAAAAAGGCGACCAAGGCCAGGTTTGTATTCAAACTGGGAATTTCACTGATTGGCCAACAAGCACACAAGTGAGCGTGCTATAAGAGACAGTCAATGAGCTGGGCAAAAAGGGATTGGGACAACTGAGTAGTGGTTTTATATACAGGCAGTCCCCGGGTTACATGGATCCGACTTACATCGGATCCCTACTTACAAACGGGGTGAGGCAACCCCGCACTAGCTGCTTCCCCCTAGCAGACCAGGGAGACGCGGAGCGGCTTTTCTCAGCAGACACCTCAGCTTGAGAATAAAGGACTGAGGGAAGTGAGGTGTGGGAGAATGAAACTGAGCTCTGGAGAAATATTTGGCTAGAATTCCCCTACAATATGTACCAGTTCCGACTTACATACAAATTCAACTTAAGAACAAACCTACAGTCCCTATCTTGTACGTAACCTGGGGACTGCCTGTACAGCATATGTTCCTTGCCAGACATTCATTCTAGTATCTGTTCTTCCCATCAGTATCTAGTACCTGTAAATATATTGGTCCAAATACTGTACTCAACTATACCAATGTACACATGGTATGGGGCTATTTTGGATCAAACAGCCGTATAAGTGAGACTTGCATGTGGCCATATTGTGAGAGAATAAAGACCATCGGTGATCCCCCCCAAAGTCTTTCTGCAGCCACTATGTATCAGACGTGAACCTAATCCTGTGGAGCAGGAAGTGGCTATGGAGCAATAAGGACAGAAATGTTCCTTCCGCTATTTGGTGAGCACAGGGTGATGCAGAAAAATTGCCGGAGACATGATGATCCTTAAGCCATTAAGCAACCGAGAGAGAGCGAGAGAGAGAGAGAGAGAGAGGTTAAAAAATTCTACATTCAATCATGAGGAGAGACCGGGGCGATAGAGAAGTAGTAAGTCATGGCCTGATTTCTCATTACGTATCAACAGTGTAAATCAGGAGCCACTCCACTGAAGTCAGTTTCAGTTGCAGATCAAATTTGGATTTGCAAGTTTTGCAGTTAAAAACTGAACTCAAAACTCTTCAGATCCATTCAGCCCCCAGCTCTAAGACATCATCAAATGGTGACAGTCAGTACTTTTCTGTACAAAAAAAGGTGCCGGTACTCCAGGCTCAAAGTTGTTGAGGGGGAAAAAAAAAAAAAAAGCTGGGCCAGGGGCCAAAATGTGGTTGCTGTCCCTTTAAGAGCCGTGCCACATGTCCCAAGTGGGTTTCCATCAGGATTCAAGCCACCCCAGGAAATAGGTGCCAGTACGCCGCAGGGGAATCCCATTCAAGTAAGGTATGAGGGGAAAATAGGTGCTGGTATGCCGCCGGTGACAGTATACAGTGGGAGAATGGACCAGCAGCCCCTAGCTGCAGACATCTGAACTGTTACAGGTCACTTCATCCCATTTCTAGCTTTCCTTTGGCCTTGATATAGCACTAACCACATGTAAAAAGCATGTAATATGCTCATTTTCCCTAGTTCATTGTTCTTTTTGAAGTAGACTGTCCAAGTACATCTCTCCCCACATGGCCACATTTTATTAAACTGCTCAGGGCAAAAGCCACCAGAGAGACGTCCTATCTTACCAATTTCTTCACCTTTGAAACATCCCAAAGTGAAATTAGTTCACAATTCAAATAAATTCCTCTTTCCAATATTTTCTTTTCCTCATGATCTTCTCCTACAGCAATGATCTGCGACTATCCTCTTCTACAATGTTGTTGCCTCAGTAACAAAAATCTGACTCCTTTTCATGGTGTCCAACCTACTGGCATAAATCCCTGTGCTACTGTCACTAACTGCTGTATGGGGGATAAACACTGGCCAGACTGGTGACAATTTTGGCTGTGCCTCCTAAATGAACAACAGAGAGTGTGAAGGTGGAAAGTTGCTATGGGTGAAACGATAGGGTTTTATCAGAATTACCAGAATTCCGAATTTTATCAGAATTATCAAAATGTTATCAGATTCAAGGAATCTCTTTGAAATGTCCGAGAGGAAGATGGTATTAGACTGTTAGTACACAGGTCCTTGCAGTCTCAGTTCAGTTATTTGTGTGTTAAGAGTCTGTTTATAAACTGAAGCCCTAGTCACTAACTGCTACACAGCCTTGAAGGGAGCGAGATTCAGTTGTTTAGATCCCAATCCTGTGGAGTATGGTGATTCTCTGCATTTGCCCTTTGGCTTCTAGACACGACTGAAGCCCAAGAGGATGGGAGTGATTTGGGAAGGAGTCATGATGAGTCACATGCTTCCCTCGGGTCCAGTGAATTTCCATTCACAAATCTGCAAGGCCTTACTGTGTTGAGTTAAGCAGAGATGCCAGCTCGGGGGGAGTTGATCACAGCTCTTTGTCAGTGTCCTTGGGTTTGGGGCTTTCATGTTTAGAAGGGAAAAATATATTACTACAGATTGGACCTCCCTGGTCCGGCACCCTCTGGACGTGAGCAGTCCCAAATTATGGATGTTAAGAGGCAGGTAATTGCATCGAGTACACAATTAGTCGATAAGGTTCTGCAGGTTGAATGTAGGAGGAGCCAGGCACACAGGCAGCCCTGCTCCTACTACATTTAAACTGCAGAGCAGCAGAGACAGGACTGAGCCAGGCTTGTTCAGTCCTGGCTTGCACTGGGTCCAGCAGCCTCTGCCCATGGCCAACCCGGGCACCACAGACAGGGGCTGCTTCATGGCAGCATCACCTCCCCCCACCCACCTCCCCTTCTGCCTCTGATAGAGGCAGCTGCAGGGGGGCAAGCAGCACTCCCTGGGGTGGAACCAGCTTTTAAGCCAGCTCCCCCCAGCACAGGCTCCTGTCACCCCCCCTTCTTGCTGCCTCTGGGCAAATAGTCAACTTGATTATACAATAAGGCTACGTCTAGACTGGCCCCTTCTCCAGAAGAGGCACGCAAAGCAGGCAAGTCAGAATAGGGAAATCCGCAGGGGATCTAAATATCCCCCGCGGGATTTAAATAAACATGGCCACGGCTTTTTTGCAAGTAGGAAGTAAGAATAAGAGATCCTCCGGAAAAGGGCTTTATTCCGGAGGATCGCGCCAGTCTAGACGCTCTTTTCCGGCTTTTCCCCAAGCCGGAAAAAAAGCGGCGGACATGTTTATTTAAATCCCGCGGGGGATATTTAGATCCCCTGCGGATTTCCCTATTCTGACTTGCCTGCTTTGCATGCCTCTTCTGGAGAAGGGGCCAGTCTAGACGTAGCCTAAGCGTAGGCTTGTCAGGCAGTCAAATGATCAAGCGCTTTGCTATCCCAGACCAGAGAGTTTGCCGGGCCAGGAGAGGTCAATGCTTGCCTGCTGGCTGCCCCACTCC